GTATAGTTTAATAGAACTTAGTCATAGACATGTATGAATATCATGTTGAAATGGTTCAACATAGGAGATTCGATGTTTGAACAATATTATAGCAAAAGACTGAAAAGATATCAAATACTTATGTGAATCGAGTCCCATATGCTTCGAATATAGGATCGATTACATATGCTATAATATTCACTTATTCTAATTTTTTAAATGCTTAGAGCATTGTGAGGAAAAGGACTAGTTTTTTGTGTGATTAAAGCTGTTAAACAACTATCAAGAGCATTTTAAGGTTATACCAAAGGATTTCTTGCTTGTGGACAGTTAGAATTATTATATTAATTTGGATGGACCATAGTGACATGATTCTGGATTGAGATGGTTCTTAATCAGAATTGATGGTCATATGGAAATATAAAAATGTTTCCATAATGGGAGATACTTGAAAAATATATATGTGAGTTGAAAACTTTAATGCAAAGAGAAGTGTTCAAGGAGTGTACCTTGAATTAGAAATTACCATGGAATTGTTTCTAGTAACAAAGTTCCAATGGGATATTTTGTAATCAATCTTTAATTCGTTCTTAAAATATGAGTGTAATCAATCTTTAATTCATTCTTCAAGCCTTTCCTATCATGTCTTCAAACCATTCTTCAATCCATTCCTATCACAAATGCAACAAAAACTAAGAATGGTTAAAAAAAAATATCATATTCTTTAAGAATAAGTTTACTGAACCTGTTCATTCTGTAAGAAAATATCATAGCAAATCAATTACAACAAAGGCAAACACAGATTCTAAAAGAATGATTAACTCTAAAAGTGCAATTTCCATCTGTTCTGGCAGAATATTCTGACAGAATATATATGTCATTTTAAATTTTGGCAGAATGCCAAAATTTAAAATGACATATATATTCTGATAGAATAATCAGGGCAACAACATTATCAGTTAATAGTAATTGATCCATTCTACAAGAATAATCAAGTAACACATTGGATCATGAATGATTCAAATCTTTATTATTTTTTTTAATTATACTTAAGCCATTATATAGGAACGTATGCATAAAGAATTACACACAAACTCCAAAGACAAGTAACCATTACACATCCAAAAACAATTAATATATTGATTAAAAAAGTCACTACAATATTTATACGAAGACCCATAACTAAATCCAAGTTAAAAATTTGGCCAATTTCTTGTTCTTCAAATTACAATTAAAAAAAAGAGAAATCAACACTAAATCCAAGTTAAAAATTTGGCCGATTTCTTGTGTTCTTACCTTCTTATATACGAATGCCCATCACCTATAGGTGGTATCGGAAAATTTCAAGTGGCCGACGGTGGAAGTGATTGCTGCGAGAAGGAGGTAGAAGTGGCCGACGGTGGAGAAAGAGGAGGAAGAAATTGGGTAGAGTAATGAGTCGCTGATCATTATTCTAGGGAAAAATGACGGCAACGCCGGTAGTTGTAAGAAAGAAGGAGGTTGCACCGGTGGTGAGGGATGAAGTCGCGAACAAGGAGAACGGCAATAACGTAGATACAAATGTGAAGGTAGGGTTTTGAATTGATTATCCTTATTTAAAGGGTATTAAATGTTTTAAATAATTACTAAAATTAAATATGGTAAAGATTACTATCATACCCTTTAACAATTTAATAAATATTTAATTTTTCCTAATTTTTTATTGGAGCATTCAGGAACACAATACTTGTGAAAAACATATGAACCTATCTCTCTCTCTCTCTCTCTATATATATATATATATATATATATATATATATATATATATATATATATATATATATATATATATATATATATATATATATATACACACACACACACACACACACACACAGAGGGGATGAGGGTTCAATTGAGAAAAAGGTGTTAAGAACGAGAGAATGAATCTGGGTCACTGATTTTGAATCTGCCGCTTAAATATTCCGGCATACCGAGCTGACAAAACATATCATATTCATATATGAATACGTATATTCATATATGAATATTATGAATAAGTGTATTCATATATGAATAGCTATATTCATATATGAATAATTATAGAGGAAGTGATTATACATATATGAATATGGCGGTGGTGGTTGTTGGCGGTGGTGGTGGTTGGTGGCGGCGGTGACGACGGTGGTGGTGGTGGTAGTTGGTGGCGAAGGGGAGGTGGTGGATTCATATATGAATACACTTCATTTATATTCATATATTCATATTCCTCATCATCCGTAGTGCCGGTACAACGCAATGTTTTGTAGTATATATATAATATATATATATATATATATATATATATATATATATATATATATATATGATAAAAGAGTGCAAAATTGCCACATGGCATCTCCTCGAAGCCTCTTCTGTGGAAGTTAATATACCATTTTACCCTTCATCAATATAACTACATAATCTTCCTTCAATCTCACTTTCTTCCCAAATTGAAATGTATTCGGCTTCTGAAATTTGAATTTCACCCCTAGCTCTTAATCGTTATTACCCCCTTCACAACTTATAAAACCCTAAAATTGTCTTCTCCACCCTCTCTCGAACTCGCCAACCGTCACACCTTCTTTTGTGATTGAGATTGTTATTCATATTCTTTTGTGATTCTTGTGATAGATCGATTAATAATCCTCTTTGTGTGTCAAATGTTTGCAATTATGCTCTGATTCTTCGTACTCTTTTTGGATTTTTGAATAATTTATTTGACTGATTAAACGATCGAGGTTTTGAAATCAATAATCTTCCCAGATCTAACTCAAGGTAAGAAACATTACGTTGTTACTTATATTTTCTTATTAAATTATTTTTGTACATTTTTTTATATATCTCCATGTGTGGGTGATCAAGACAGAATTGTTGAAGAAAGCATTAAACATGAAAATGAATCTACATAAGATCAAAGAACCCCTTCCAGGCGTGCATCCCCCCCCCTCCCTGCTCCCCCCTTCTTTTCTCTCTACACCACATGTCAAGCCCTCATTTGATGAGTTTTTTTTTTTCACACATTTCGTTTTTTGGCCGTGATTTTTTTTGTAAAAATTATATTTAATTGAATATGTTATTGATCCAATATCATAGGATTCAAAAATGATTTGATTCAAAATACTACTCTACTCTTAATCTAGAGACATCATCAGGAGAACTAGAGACGTATTGCTTGATCCGACCGTTACGCTTTGTTAATAATTTTTGACATTGCCCGTTGATATACAAAGGAAAATTACGGATGAATTGGATAGGACTCCAGGAGACTTGAAGAAACTGGAAGAATTTAGAAATTAGAATGTTTGAGATATGTAAAGATGGCTGCAAATGATATTGCTTCTAAACTAAATGAGTATATTTGTCTATTTACACAATGTAATGAAGGCATTTATTGTATGAAATAGATTTTTTTTTATTATATATGTATTCTATGGTTTATGATGAGACATTAATTTGCATTTAATTTAAAAATTAGTAAATTTATAATGTATTTTAAAAAAAAAACATTAAAATTTATAACATGCAAAAGTGTGTGTCGTCTTTTTTTATGACAGGAACTTCAATGATACGCATTGTGTGTCGTATATGTGTGTCATAAGGTTACGACATGCAAATGTATGTCGCATTCCTTTATGACAGGGTCTTCCTTGACACACAATCATAAATGCACGTCGTAAGTTTACGATACGCAAAAGCGTGTCGTCTTCCTTTATGACAGGGTCTTCCTTGACATGCATTTGCGTGTCATCTGTGGCTTTTACGACACGTAATGCATGTCATTAAATGGTATTTTTGTAGTAGTGTCTAACAAATATATATATATATATATATATATATATATATATATATATATATATAATATATATATATATATATATATATATATATATATAAGAATTTGATGTACACATGATCCTAATATCATAATTGTATTTCCATTTTTAAATTTTATTTTTGCAGTTGATTATTTAACTTAAAGATTTTATGAGTATTTTTTTTAACGGCAAAAGAACATATAGATAGAAAAGAAACTAGCTAGGTGCTAGCAAATGATACACCATATTAAGGCATGAAGGAATTTAGAAGCCATTTCGGCCGTATCCTATTAGCCTTGTTGTTTCTAAGGCACAATTATTGTTTCTAAGGCACAACCAACTAAAAGAAAAAGTTAAAATATTGTCAACAATATTCTCTTCTTTATACTTAGGATCCCCAAAAAAGATTGCATTTCGGTAACACCATATATATATCACTCACATTTATTGAAAAAGTGGGTATTTAGTTGCCTTATAAGATATTTAAAAAAATCTAAATCTTGTGAGATGAATAAGGTTTTATATTTTTATTGGGCTTATAAATTTCAAGGACCAATTTAAATAAATTCACACAAGAAACTTAAAGTCAGACCATGTAGTTACCAGTACATTAATAAAAAGTGAAAATAAGAAAGACAATATTATTAAATAGGAATGTACAGCTTAATTACTTTGATGTACGGCATCCTTAGTTTAAAATCATGGCTCCCTGTTACATGTTATATAGTTTTTCAAACATGTCCAATAATTATTCGTTGACAAAAATATAATATAGTGATTTCAGAAATTAGTAATAACTTTTTGTTAGCTTCTGATTAATCATCAAATATATCTATGAAGCAATTCCTTAATTGCTCCACATGCAGTCGTTTGTCTTCACCACGTATCCACTTGCATGGAATGCTATTGTCTTGTTTGACAATGATTTGGTTTTGTACGTACTTCATAACACAGCCAAACTTCATGACACTTCAATGGAACACTGTTCTTCTTAACATCCGAATTGAATTTTAAAAACTTCATATTGCTGTAATTTTCGTTCAAACTATTTTTATGATTTTAAACGAGTAAATTGGAATAAACATATTAAGGTAATTATCAAATAGTGACGAAGCTAGTGGCAAGAGATGGCGATTTCCATCTATAAATACCGTATGTGCTTTGCATATCTTTACACGAAAAATACTACAACACTTTCCAACTATAACAAGCTAAAGCATTAAAAATGGCTTCAAGAGCTTTGGCAACCATAGCTTTTCTCCTTACCTTCAATCTTCTTTTCTTCACTCTGGTATCCTCCACTAATACCCCAAAAGACTGCCCACCTCCACCAAAACCTCCAACACCACCAAAAGTTTGCCCGCCTCCAACATCACCTCCACCATCACCAGAAGTTTGCCCACCTCCCACATCATCTCCAACATCACCTCCCACAACATCACCTCCCACATCATCTCCAACATCACCTCCCACAACATCACCTCCCACATCATCTCCACCATCACCTCCCACAACATCACCTCCTACATCATCTCCAACATCACCTCCCACATCATCTCCACCATCACCTCCCACAACATCACCTCCCACATCATCTCCACCATCACCTCCTACAACATCACCTCCCACATCATCTCCAACATCACCTCCCACAACATCACCTCCCACATCATCTCCACCATCACCTCCCACAACATCACCTCCTACATCATCTCCACCATCACCTCCCACATCATCTCCAACATCACCTCCCACAACATCACCTCCCACATCATCTCCAACATCACCTCCCACATCACCGGGGGGCCATTGCACATCACCTCCAACTCCTTCAAAACCTCCAACACCTTCAACACCTCCAACACCTATAGAACCTTCAACACCTCCAACACCTTCACCGACACCTTCAACCCCTCCTAAAGCCACTTGCCCGAAAGACATTCTCAAATTGGGTGTGTGTGCTAACTTGCTCAACAACCTTCTCCCTATAGTCATCGGAAACCCATCAGAGACACCATGTTGTTCCCTTCTTTCCGGCCTCGCAGATCTTGACGCTGCAGTTTGTCTTTGCACTGCCATTAAAGCTAATGTCTTGGGAATCAACCTCAACGTTCCTGTCTCATTGAGTGTGTTGCTTAACTACTGTGAAAAGAAGTCCCCATCCGGCTTCCAATGCACCTAGATTTTGAAAGCTTAAAACTATAGATTGTTGTATTTTGGAATATCATTCTTATGTTCAGTTTAATGTGAAGAATCATGTATGATATGATTCAAGAATAAATTAGTGTACTCGTCTTTTGAAATTATAGTGGCTTTTACAATATAAATTTTAAATTAATGTCAATTTTAACAGTTTTTTTTGGTAGTAAATTTTTAAAGTGATAAGTTTTAAATTAATGTTACTTTTGAACTATTTTTATTGTTATAAAATTTTAAAACTAATTCTTTAAAAAGTTTTTATGATTATAGTACTTGTAAACTACTTGAAAAGTACATTTCATATATATATATATATATATATATATATATATATATATATATATATATATATATATATATATATATATATAGAGGGAAAAGGGAATGTGTGGCTGTTAGGTATCTAACATTGGGTATAGAACACTAAAAACGTCGACGTTTTGAAGTAATTCAATCAAATCCCGTTTTTCCTTCTAAAATCGACTTATCACTTCTCTCCAAATCAGTCCTCCCAAAAGTTTCGTTTTTAAAGTTTCGTTTTTATCTATTTACTGAACTGATACGATGATCACGATCTACACAAATATAATTCTTTCTTTCCCACCAATTTCTGTAGATATCGTGATCTTCTTCTTTGTTATTCTCAATATTAGCCCACCTTATTTGGGAAAAGGGTTTATCGTCTTTCAAAGCCATTCTGATTTTCTTATTACAATCCTTCATCTCCGTTTTCTTCCAGGTAACGTCTTTAGTATCCTTATTTTTGTTATTGTAATTACAGGTTATTGTAATCATAGGTTTTTGTATCGCTTTAATGATGGCCCACATATCTAATTCACCGGTGATAGTAATTCTAAAAAAATTGAAGGTTTCATCATACTTTACGATTTGGATCTTAGCTCAAATCATTTTGTTATTTAGTTAGGATAGTAATTCTAGAAATAATTTCTTTTAAGCAACTTAACCGTCAATTAATTTGTATGCCATCACAAAACCTATTGGAATAGAACTTTTGTTTAATTGTATTTTCATACTATTAAATCCATGAACCCAACAAACCCACTAACTTGTTTGTGAGTATTTAGTTTTTTTTATCATCATTGCATAATTATGTCTACGCTAGTGTTTTGTTTCTTGTTATATAATTCTATGTTTTAAGTATGTTATTAATAGAAATTAAGTTCTGTATACAGACTCTATTTTTCACCATACACCTCTTTGATTTTTGGGATGCTAATATTTTTTTATTGCTTTTCATAATCGTCACTCTTACAATCCATATCAGATCCGTTAGTGGTTTGCTACACACCCAGATCAAGATGATGTCTGAGGTAAATACAACTTTGACTTAAAAAGATCATTATTTAGATATTGAATCCTGATGATGTTGCTAAAACAGTTCCAATTATTAAATGTTTCTTAAGTACATCTTTTTCTATCTTTATCTTGATACAGGACATATATGACAATATTACTTTAGAAAATCAAGTAGTCGATCAGCCTTTTGAAACACATATAATTGAAGATGTTGACATGAATGGTCATTTTGTATCATCTTCGGAAAATGAGGATGTAAATGATATCGATACAGGTCTTGAATATGATGAAGATGAAAGTATCATGGGAAAGGTTTTCAATACCCTAAAAATGCATATACATTTTATAATAGATATGCATTTCTACATGGATTTGGCATACGCACTCATTGGGGTTATAAGAATAAGACAACAAAGGATGTTTATCGCAAGATGTATGTGTGCAACAAACAAGGTTTTAAAAGATTGAAGGGTGCTAGTTCATGTGGAAATACAAAGCAACGTCGTAGAGCTTTACGAACCGGATGTGAAGCGATGCTTCGGATTTCAAAAAGGAAAGATGGAAAATGGTTTGTGGATATTTTTAATGATACACATAACCATGAGTTGAGTATTACACCAACAAAAGTAATGAAACATCGTTCACATGCGAAGTTCCACCGCTCAATGGCATGCAAATCTCTTATGGTGGAGTTTGGTCGATCAGGGTTGAAGCCTTCTCAAATTAAAAAGGCTGTAAATGCAATAAAATCTCCATATGAAGCTGATGTTACTTCCAAGCAATGTTTGATGTACTATCCGAGCAACGAAGAAACTACAAAGGTAAAGAGTTTTATGGGCTCATTAAACATTTTCAAGATAAAGCATTAGTTGATACCAACCAATATTTTGCCGTGGATTTGTTTGAGGATGGGTCTCCTAGAAATATTTTTTGGGCCGACGGAAGATCAAGGGATGCATATACAAAATTTGGGGATGTTGTCGTGTTTGATGTTACGTACATGACGAACAAATTTAAGATGTCATTTTCTCCCTTTGTTGGGGGTGAATCATCATGGTCAATCCATACTTTTTGGTGGTGCATTGCTAGAAAATGAAAAAGAAGAAACTTTCAAATGGTTATTCGAGCATTTCTTGAAGTGTATGTTCGAAAAGTATCCATCAGCAATAATAACAGACCAAGATAAAGCTATAGGTAACGCAATCAGCAAAGTATTTCCAAACACTCGGCATCGTTTTTGTGCATGGCATATTAAGAAGCATGAGCAAATACATCTTCGACCACTTGTAGCTCGTTATAGTGATTTTAAAGATTCCTATAAATCATGGGTAAAAAGTGATATCATAGAAGAGTTTGAAATCAAGTGGGAAGGTATACGTGATAAGTATAACCTAGAAAACAAAAGTTGGTTACCAACGGAAACATTGGGCTAAAGCCTTTCTGAAGGATGTTTTCTTCGCTGGCATGACAACAAGCGGACGAAGTGAGAGTATTCATTCATTTTTTGACGGATTTGTTAATTCCAAAACCATGTTGAATGAATTTGTTGTACAATATGATAAAGCAGTTCACTCTCGAAGAGCTGCCGAAGAAGATGAAGACTTTAAGACAATGAACTCAAAACCAGTTCTATTTTCTGTTCATCCAATAGAAGCAAAAGCGGGTGAATGTTATACTAGAAAGATGTTTGAGGCTTTTAAAAAAGAATGGATAGAAGCTATGGGCAATTTAACTCATGAAACATTAAGCAAAAGTACAGAAAAAATTAAGTATAGAGTCGGGCAGTTGAATGTTGATAAAATGCGTTGGAGAATTGTTACCTTTCATTTCTTGAATCCAGTAAATGTCAAGTGCTCATGTGCTAAGTTTGAAACATATGGGATATTGTGCAAGCATAGTTTATATGTGATCAAGAAGAGACATGTTGAAACCCTTCCTGGTCACTATATTTTACCTAGGTGGACACTTGATTCTAGATTCAAGGTGGATAGTAACAACATTGGATTGGAAGAAATCAACAATGAAAATGGATTTAGTGCCTTAACGGAGTGGTGTGTTCGTGCAAACTATAATAAAGCAATTGAACTTGCAGAGACTCCTCTTTTGAGATAAGAAAGCTTAATAATTTCTTGGTAAAGTTTTTAGAAGACCAGCTTAGTCGGAAAAAGGCGAAAGGACATCCAAATACATCTCAATAATCTTGTGCAGGCATTTCTCAAGTAGACATGGTGCTTCAAATATCTATCAGGGATCCTCTTCTTCCGACTAATACGAAAAGGGCGTCCCAAAAATGCAAATAGAATCAAATCTTCTTTGGAAATGGTGAAGAAAAAAAGAACTTGTTCTCACTGTGGGGGATTAGGTCATTATATCAGTGGGTGCTCTATTAAAAAGGTAATGTATTATTTTATATACTGCTTAATAGGTAACATATTTTGTGATTAAATGCTTACATTTGTTTTTTCATCGGGCAGAAGAAGCTTTAAAAGACAAAGAATTATATGGTAAATAGTAGGTGATATGGTGCTGTCATTTCATCAACCTCATCCAACCTGTTTTGAGAAGGGATACGATGAAGAACTTGCATTTTTTTCCCGTGTTATGTTTTTTTCACCTGAAATTTGGATATTGGATCTTCGTTGTTAATGAGTTTTGCATTTAAAACAGAAACCATTGAGTCAAAGTTGAGTAAATTTCTTCAAGGCTTTTGTATGGAGATTACAGTTAGCTTCCTTTGGTTTAGCATAGCATGACATCTCAATTACAGAAGTGATTGCAATTATAGGTAAATAAAAATAAAAATAATAAAACTCATTTGTAAGAAAAAAGCTGAAGGGCATAAATGGCATACAACGAAGAATTAAAGTAAAAAATTACAACAATTCAACTAATTCATCACATAAACACATATTCAAAGTTCAATGATTGGTTCTAGTTTTTGGTAAAGTATTCACTATTGATAATGTTGCCTTTACATAACTTCAAGCCTTTCTTTCATTCTGTTTCTACTGATATCAGCTACCACCTGAAAGGGATTTCCAAGTAGAAACAAGTCTTTTATCTTTGATGAGAAGTTCAACTAGTCATTGATAGACACCATCAATGGAAACTATAGATGGAAGAATTCCCAAAAACTGAATTACCTAAAGTTAAAAAATAAACAAACAAAAAATGAATTGTTTTGATTAACGACAACTTCATCTCCATTGATAGTTAATATTTGTAATAACTACTTTAAAGATGACTAGATGAAAATTCAAAAAAAAAAAATAATAATGGGATATAATTATCGTATAAATTAAAAGAAATCTAATTTTATGGGATGTAATTAAGATTTACCTAATACCAACATACTGTGCTATAAGGACTTAACAACAAATTGAAATTTAATAGAGAGAAAATGGAAAACCTAATTACAACTCATAATAGTAATAAGAGAGATGAAATATAAGAAGGTAGAAACCAAAAAATTAAATGGAAAATGAAAAGGGGAAAAAGAAAGTATTGCAAATCGAGATGTTTTTAAATGGGATCAAATTTTAATAGGTTTCCAAAGAACTAAA